GTCTTAGTTGTGGAGGGTGCAGCAAGCTCAGCTCCAAGTCCAGTCGCACTGTTCAGCTCAAGGTGCTGTGCTCAATTAGTTGTGGGTGGGTTTAGCCACCACCCCATGCAGGAGTCAAACCAGCAGCCTTGTTGTTAAGAGCGCACGTTCTATCCACTGAGCCACCCCAGCTGCAGCTCAGCTTAAGGTGCCGAGTTCAGTCTTAGTTGTGGTAGGGCATAGCCCACCATCTCAAACAGGCACCCTGTTGTTAGGAGCACGTACTCTCACCAGCTGAGCCATCCTGCCACCTGTTGGCAGTTCAGGGGCAGCTCACCTCGGGTGCAGTGTCACTGGCTCATGTGGGAATCAAACCGGCGACCTTGTCGCTCAGAGCTCATGCTCTTGAGCACTATTTTACCCAACAGAGTCACCCAGCCAGCCCAGAAAGATTTTAAAAATATAGAAATAGTTGTTTAATTTTTTTAAGAAAATAAATTTTAAAATATCATTTAAAATACTGGAAATGGAAAGACTCAAATTGATGATGATTCCAGTGGGGTCTTCAAGTCAGAACCAAAATAAGAAGAGGTCAGCTGATGAGGCAAGCCTTCTTCTAGAAAGCAGTATCTTTCCATGTATACAAGGTCTGATCAAAAACTACGGTGAATGCTGCCGCTAAGTGCCATCAAACGGAAAGCAGCGTGTAGAACCTTAGTAACAGTATGTGACAAGTTTCAACTTGTTCCGTGTAGTCAGTGGGGTGTGAGCTATGATAGAGAGAAGGTGTGTTTCAAAGTGTAACATAAATCATGGATCACGAATAACGCATTAACATAAAATTTTCTTTCAAACTGCAAAAAAGTGCTAAAGAAACACAGGAAGTGTTAAAATTATTTTATGGTGATGCTGCAGTGACCATGAAGATGGTCTTATTAGAACATTTAAAAAACGATGTGCATAGAAAATGGCCTGAGAAATGGGCAAATGGTTTCTATCATGACAACACTCTGTCACATATCACTTCAGGTACGGCAATTTCTGTCAAATAAAAACATTACGGTGTGTCTTCATCCACCTTATTCACTGGATCTGGCACCGTGTGACTTCTGGCTCTTCCCCAAAGTCAAAATGATTCAGGACATCGAGGCAGCCACGACAGCGCAACTAAAGATAGTCAGGAAAGAGGACTCCCTGAACTGCTTCAGAAAGTGGCAAGAACGATGAGACGAGTGTGTTCCAAGTGAGGGAGTATTTTGAGGGGGATTAATGGCAATGTGTCTTTTACTGTAATAAACTTTTTGTAATTCAAACATTCACCGTATCCTTTTGATCACACCTCGTAACATGGAAAATATGGTAGAAGTATGGAAGGTATGGGAAGAAGGCCTGAAAGCAATTCGGTGAATGAAGGTGAATAGGGGAAGTGTGAGAGGTGGTAATGGTGATAATCAGGGTAAATATTCAGCTGGACACAGATTGTAAGCTGATTAACATTTGTGTATTTGCATAAAAATAGTCACTCTCTGAAGCCCCTCCCCTGTCACCCTTCTCCTAAGGGCTGCCACCCTCCCAATGAGCCAGCAATCAGCCAGCACAGCTCCAGTGCTGGAGCCCCAGTCTGGAATGACTGCTGGGTGGCTCTGCCATACTGGCTATTAATTTTTTTATATCACACCTAGTGATAATCCTATATATAATCTGAGCTGTACTCCTGTTTCTGAACTCATCAACAAAGGCACATTTGTGCAGCCTGAACTTCTTCTAAATGTTGGAAAATGTTGGAAAGGTGCCTGCTTCTTAAAACCTTGGTTATCATTGTAAGTGATCACTCTTTAGATTCCTTATCCTAAAGTGGGAATTAGATGGGGCCACCTGAAAGTATGAAGGCGACCTGGGAAGAGGACCTGGGAACAGTAGTGGCAAGGGAGAGAGAAAGCTGTGCCATGGGGTAAGGAGGCTCGAGAAGAGATGAGACGACACTAAAGGCAGCTAACGTCACCATCTTGCCCTGAGCAGGCCCTCCCCAGACCACTTAGGAGTCCATGTCCCCCTAAGTTGTTAAAAGTGCTACAGTTTTTTACCAACCATCAACACTTCATTACCCCACAAAACTGTGTAAGAACAAATCATTTCTATTTACACTTCGGTTTTCTCATTTCTAAGATGGCTGGTTTGGATGATCTGTGTCCCTTTTAGCTCAGTATTTTTAGTAACACATAATATACGAGCTGATCTTTAACACTGCTCCTTAAAAAAAAAAGGGCAGGGCCGACTGAGTGGCGTGATGGTTAAGAACTGGCTTGGGACGCCAGAGGGCCCTGGTTCGGATCCCACATATGAGGGCCAGTGACACTGCCCTCCACAGCTAAGATG